ATTTGAGCTTTACAGTAATGTCCAGCCTATCAGTATGTGTCTGAACTCTTTAAGTCATACGGGCTATACCTCAGTGGTAGAGCATTAGACTGCAGATCAAGAAGACCCCAGTTCAAATCTGGGTAACCCTGTTGTAAGTGAACTTGCCTCTAAAATGCCAGTTCAAATCTGGGTGCCCCCTTTGTAAGTGTACTTTCCTTCAGAATGGTATGTTTGCAATACTGTGAGAACTACATTGGCCGTGATCGTATAGTGGTTAGTACTCTGCGTTGAGGCCGCAGCAACCCCGGTTCGAATCCGGGTCACGGCAGAAGTTGCAGTCTGCTTTATGTTTTTGGTTCAACCTACCTACTGCATTTTTAGTTCATTTTCTACAGTTTAAAAGCTGCTACGAAAGGAAAAAACAAAGGGTTAGTGGCGCAATGGATAATGCGTCTGACTACGGATCAGGAGATTCCAGGTTTGACTCCTGGCTAGCTCGTCTCTCTTTAGTAAATCAATTGTTCCTCATTTCCTAATGTACTTCTCAAAAATCTGTCCGTCAAAGTACACCTGGAATGAGGGATTGACATAATGATGGGTCAATGGGCTTTCAACATTTCCAACAGTACTTCTCAACAAACAGTCCATCAAAGTCAATGAACATTTGAAACGAGGAACAACACTATTATGGCCCTTCAACATGAAACCAAGCAAATGTGGAATATTTTGTTTTTAGCCTACGTGGGCTTTTGACTTCTGGTCATTTGACCTTTACAGTAATTCCCAGCCTATGAGTATGTGTCTGAACTCTGTCAGTCATAGGGGGTATAGCTCAGTTGTAGAGCATTTGACTGCAGATCAAGAGGTCCCCAGTTCAAATCTGGGTGCCCCCTTTGTAAGTGTACTTTCCTTCAGAATGGTATGTTTGCAATACTGTGAGAACTACAGTGGCCGTGATCGTATAGTGGTTAGTACTCTGCGTTGTGGCCGCAGCAACCCTGGTTCAAATCTGGGTCACGGCAGCAGTTGCAGTCTGCTTTTATGTTTTTGCTTCAACCTACCTACTTCATTTTCTACAGTTTAAAAGCTGCTACGAAAGCAAAAAACAAAGGGTTATTGGCGCAATGGATAACGTGTCTGACTACGGATCAGAAGATTCCAGTTTCGACTCCTGGCTAGCTCGTCTCACTTTAGTAAATCAATTGTTCCTCATTTCCTAATGTACTTCTCAAAAAACTGTCCGTCAAAGTACACCTGGAATGAGGGATTGACATAATGATGGGTCAATGGGCTTTCAACATTTCCAACAGTACTTCTTAACAAACAGTCCATCAAAGTCAGTGAACATTTGAAATGAGGAACAACACTATTATGGCCCTTCAACATGAAACCAAGCGAATGTGAAATATTTCGTTTTTAGCCTACGTGGACTTTTGACTTCTGGTCATTTGAGCTTTACAGTAATGTCCAGCCTATCAGTATGTGTATGAACTCTTTAAGTCATACGGGCTATACCTCAGTGGTAGAGCATTAGACTGCAGATCAAGAAGACCCCAGTTCAAATCTGGGTAACCCTGTTGTAAGTGTACTTGCCTCTAAAATGCCAGTTCAAATCTGGGTGCCCCCTTTGTAAGTGTACTTTCCTTCAGAATGGTATGTTTGCAATACTGTGAGAACTACAGTGGCCGTGATCGTATAGTGGTTAGTACTCTGCGTTGTGGCCGCATCAACTTGACCACCACAGAGCATGCTGCTCCCACCCAGCAATCTGGGACCAGCCAGCATGCCTCAACCTCTTCACTCCGCTCCCTTTTGGTTGGACAGAAGGTGCTAAATCAAAGGAGCCTCACCAACGCAGTGAAACGGCTGGTTTCCCCCAGCAAAACCAAACCCTGTAAGCAAACATTTATTTGATAACACTTCTTTTTAATGTTTAGTACTCTTCAATACTTGTGATGTTTATCTGGTTGTCCTTAATTTGTCTTTCTTTAGCTTTGGTCCATGCACGTGCACGGCCAAAACCCCACCTCATCCAACTGCCTGTCTCCTTCGAGGCAGCAAAGGCCCCAGCCTCCACCCTCACACACCCGGCTGTGTCCAGTGAGGTCGATGACAGCACACTCCTGGCAGAGGCAGTACAATTTGAGGAGGCAAATCCTGCAGGTATGTTAACATTTCAATATCTCAAACATTAAAACACAATATTTTTAAGTGGACACATTTAGTGATACATTTTTCTCATTTATTTTTCATGTCCTTTTCCTTTTGTTGTTGCAACGTAAAATCAGCTGCTGTGGCTTAGGCAAAGAAACTCAATATTCGTACTGAAGTCCTTAAGAAGGTCTTTGATGTGTGCATACACGACACATCGTCTTGAGAGTGTCTGCCAGAGTACATCAGGCTCGGCTTTAATTTACATCAAAGACAACACAAAGAAAACCCACCCCCTATGGAGATCAATTAGGTGTCACAAACACCCCCCATTGTTTCCTTTCCCCCCTCCCTTTCCTGTAGGGTCGTAAACCCTCCCTTAGACCAGTGATTCTCAAATGGGGGTACGCGGACCCCTAGGGGTACGTTGGGGTACTGCAGGGGGTAATTTAAAAATACCATGCATGATTACAAAAATAATATTAGTACAATAAGTTAAATAGAAAACACCTCATATAAACATGTAAAATGTGTGTATTGTATAGTTTTGCATAATATATCATTTTGTTCATTGGTTTGTAAAACTTCAATTGAAAAACTCCTTGGAAAAATCTGTTTAAATTTTTTTTCGTTATGTTATTATTTTTCATGCATAAAATGAAAATATCCTTAGTTTGTTGTAATGCATGCATGAAGGAGTAAATAAATCACACACTGAGGGAACATCACTATATTGGAATTATTTGTATAGGGTTTTTCGATCAAAAATGTTCGGGGTCGGTCAGGGGGTACTTGGCTGAGAAAATGTTTCAAAGGGGGTACATTACTGAAAAAAGTTTGAGAAGCCCTGCCTTAGACAACAAAGCATCTGTTATCACAGCAAAAGGTTAACCCATTAGATCACACCATTTCCATAACACTTTATATAAAAAAATGATCTAATGAACTTTTAATAAGTTTCATATCCAGGGACAATAAAGCAAAAATGAATTTACATTTGTTTATTTCTTTGTTTTTTTGTTTTGTTTTTTTGTAGCACAACGAGTCTGTCTTCCAGCTGGCTGGACCCACACCTTGCCTGAAGTGGATCAGAGGTGGATATCAAAGGCTCTGTTCAAGTGGAACGCAAAGGGGCATCCTGAGCTGGATAGCAGGGTGGACAAACTTTGGTGGTATCCCCCCCAGGTGCCACTGAGGACCAGCAAATCTCCTGCTCAGGAAAATTACTTTGGTCATCCCCTCCTGCTGTGGATGCCACGAAAGCTGTGGCAAGTAATGCTGACCTGTCCGCATCCAGATTGCAACAAAGACCCTTTGACCTCAGCTGGCCTGCATCAGAAGAATAGGCAGGTGGTGGCTGTTGGAAATATTTACTTTGTTGCATCTGAGTACCTGGCCTGCCCAAGGTGCAAGAGGAAGGTCATCAGCTGGAGCCACGGCCTCATCTCTCAGCTGGACATAGGACACAGGGTGTAGTTCCCTTGCATCCTGACATTTAAACTTGCATGTGACTTTGAGGTTGCAAGTTTGATGCGTCAGCGAGGGCAGGGAAACAGCAGCAGCCAGATCCAGAGGAAGCTGCAGGAGCGTCATGCTGAGGTGTGGATGCAGAAGACAGTCCAGTACCTGCAGGATTGTAAAGGAATTGCCAGTGCTGTTACATCAGGCCTGATTCTGCCCGTGACCTTTGATCCTGTACCTGCCATGCCTCCTGTCCCTAAGCACCGTTGGCTGATTTATGCCCAGGATGTCCTGCAAAGGCTGGATGAAATCAAGGCCACCATCACTTCCCAGTACGGTCGGATCCTGAAGATGGATTCAACCAAAAAGGTGGCCCGTAAGCTATCTGGAAAAAGCTACGGCACCGCTACCTGGGCAACCAACGTTGGTAATGAGCATGGACAGGTCATCATGTCCGTGCTCACAGCCAGCGAGGGCTATGGTCTTGGTCCTATGGTTGAAGGACTCATGCACAGATACAGAATGGCTGGGGTGGCTCCTCCTGAGGTGCTATATGTGGACCGAGACTGCTGTGGAAACACTCTTCTAAGGAGGATGTTTGAAGAGTGGAACAACATGACAATCCGGTTAGACATCAGGCACTTCATGCGCAGATTTGCTGTGGGTTGCAGCACAGACTCCCCCCAGCTGTATGCCACTTTTATGAGTCGCCTCAGCCACTGTATTTTCATGTGGGACCAGGACGACCTGAAGACCGCGAAGGGTGCAAAGCGTGCAGAGCTAGAAGCTGGAGGGAGACATCCATCCGAGGCTGATGTGCTTCACTCTGTCAGCAGAAGTGAGCTAGCTCTGCATTGACAGAGAATCACCCGCGGCACAGAGGAGACCCAGGCTCAGATTCATAGGCTCATCCAGGCCTTTGATGGAGATGCTGGTCGGGACTCTCTGGGAGTGCCACTCATCAACTCGGCCCGGATGAGTGAAATCATCCAGTCCCAGTGGAAGCATGTGGCCTGCATCCAGGATCCTGCAGGTCTGCAGCTCTACGCACAATGAGGAATGACGCTGGAATGAGGACCGGGCTGTGGCAACAACCAGGGATGAGCAGCAGCATCCACACTGCTACAATCATCTTCTTCGCCATGCTGTGAATACTCTGGCAGAGGAGGTTCTAGGCAAGAAGATCATCCCTTATGTTGGGCCACGAAAATACACTGGTAGATATATATTGTATTTGCTTGTAGTATACCATTTTATCACTTGCATTATGTTTTCTGATTGATATGCAAATAACATCATCTAAATGCCAAGAGTAATTAGATTAAGTCATTTATATTTAAAATGATATTATATATATGATGGTGTATTATCTAATTGTATTTTTATTTGATTTGAAAGAGGAACTGATGGGAGTGGAGTACCTTTACCAGCAAACTGGTCAAGTTCTTCAGGACTACAAGCTGGCCATACAAGAGTCAGAGAGCAGCGAGGTGGCAATAGAGGTTCATGCAGGTCATGCTGAACCTGAGGAGTTTCAGGACTTCACTGTCCTCACCTTCCACCTTCAAAGGTTACCTGCTGCCTCATCAAAAGCATCGTCCTCTGTATCTCCGTCTCCATCCACCAGCACCCTGTCCTTGCGGTCTGTGGTCCCTCCTCCATCCTCCACCAGCACCCTGTCCTCACTGTCTGTGGTCCCTCCTCCATCCTCCACCAGCACCCTGTCCTCACTGTCTGCGGTCCTTCCTCCATCCTCCACCAGCACCCAGTCCTCACTGTCTGTGGTCCCTCCTCCATCCTCCACCAGCACCCTGTCCTCACTGTCTGTGGTCCCTCCTCCATCAGCACCCTGTCCTCACTGTCTGTGGTCCTTCCTCCATCAGCACCCTGTCCTCACTGTCTGTGGTCCCTCCTCCATCAGCACCCTGTCCTCACTGTCTGTGGTCCTTCCTCCATCAGCACCCTGTCCTCACTGTCTGCGGTCCTTCCTCCATCAGCACCCTGTCCTCACTGTCTGTGGTCCCCTCCTCCACCAGCACCCTGTCCTCACTGTCTGTGGTCCCTCCTCCACCAGCACCCTGTCCTCACTGTCTGTGGTCCCTCCTCCATCAGCACCCTGTCCTCACTGTCTGCGGTCCTTCCTCCATCAGCACCCTGTCCTCACTGTCTGTGGTCCCTCCTCCACCAGCACCCAGTCCTCACTGTCTGTGGTCCCTCCTCCATCCTCCACCAGCACCCTGTCCTCACTGTCTGTGGTCCCTCCTCCATCCTCCACCAGCACCCTGTCCTCACTGTCTGTGGTCCCTCCTCCATCCTCCACCAGCACCCTGTCCTCACTGTCTGTGGTCCCTCCTCCATCCTCCACTGCACCCTGTCCTCACTGTCTGCGGTCCTTCCTCCATCAGCACCCAGTCCTCACTGTCTGTGGTCCCTCCTCCATCCTCCACTGCACCCTGTCCTCACTGTCTGCGGTCCTTCCTCCACCAGCACCCAGTCCTCACTGTCTGTGGTCCCTCCTCCATCCTCCACCAGCACCCAGTCCTCACTGTCTGTGGTCCCTCCTCCATCCTCCACTGCACCCTGTCCTCACTGTCTGTGGTCCCTCCTCCACCAGCACCCAGTCCTCACTGTCTGTGGTCCCTCCTCCATCCTCCACCAGCACCCTGTCCTCACTGGCTGTGGTCCCTCCTCCATCCTCCACCAGCACCCTGTCCTTGCGGTCTGTGGTCCCTCCTCCATCCTCCACCAGCACCCTGTCCTCACTGGCTGTGGTCCCTCCTCCATCCTCCACCAGCACCCTGTCCTCACTGGCTGTGGTCCCTCCTCCATCCTCCACCAGCACCCTGTCCTCACTGTCTGTGGTCCCTCCTCCATCCTCCACCAGCACCCTGTCCTCACTGGCTGTGGTCCCTCCTCCATCCTCCACCAGCACCCTGTCCTCACTGGCTGTGGTCCCTCCTCCACCAGCACCCAGTCCTCACTGTCTGTGGTCCCTCCTCCATCCTCCACCAGCACCCTGTCCTCACTGGCTGTGGTCCCTCCTCCATCCTCCACCAGCACCCTGTCCTCACTGTCTGTGGTCCCTCCTCCATCCTCCACCAGCACCCTGTCCTCACTGGCTGTGGTCCCTCCTCCATCCTCCACCAGCACCCTGTCCTCACTGGCTGTGGTCCCTCCTCCACCAGCACCCAGTCCTCACTGTCTGTGGTCCCTCCTCCATCCTCCACCAGCACCCTGTCCTCACTGGCTGTGGTCCCTCCTCCATCCTCCACCAGCACCCTGTCCTCACTGTCTGTGGTCCCTCCTCCATCCTCCACCAGCACCCTGTCCTCACTGGCTGTGGTCCCTCCTCCATCCTCCACCAGCACCCTGTCCTCACTGTCTGTGGTCCTTCCTCCATCCTCCACCAGCACCCTGTCCTTGCGGTCTGTGGTCCCTCCTCCATCCTCCACCAGCACCCTGTCCTCACTGGCTGTGGTCCCTCCTCCACCAGCACCCTGTCCTCACTGGCTGTGGTCCCTCCTCCACCAGCACCCTGTCCTCACTGTCTGTGGTCCCTCCTCCCTCCTCCACCAGCACCCAGTCCTCACTGTCTGTGGTCCCTCCTCCCTCCTCCACCAGCACCCTGTCCTCACTGGCTGTGGTCCCTCCTCCACCAGCACCCAGTCCTCACTGTCTGTGGTCCCTCCTCCATCCTCCACCAGCACCCTGTCCTCACTGTCTGTGGTCCCTCCTCCATCCTCCACTGCACCCTGTCCTCACTGTCTGTGGTCCCTCCTCCACCAGCACCCAGTCCTCACTGTCTGTGGTCCCTCCTCCATCAGCACCCTGTCCTCACTGTCTGTGGTCCCTCCTCCATCCTCCACCAGCACCCTGTCCTCACTGTCTGTGGTCCCTCCTCCATCCTCCACCAGCACCCTGTCCTCACTGTCTGTGGTCCCTCCTCCATCCTCCACTGCACCCTGTCCTCACTGTCTGTGGTCCCTCCTCCACCAGCACCCAGTCCTCACTGTCTGTGGTCCCTCCTCCATCAGCACCCTGTCCTCACTGTCTGTGGTCCCTCCTCCATCCTCCACCAGCACCCTGTCCTCACTGTCTGTGGTCCTTCCTCCATCCTCCACCAGCACCCTGTCCTTGCGGTCTGTGGTCCCTCCTCCATCCTCCACCAGCACCCTGTCCTCACTGGCTGTGGTCCCTCCTCCACCAGCACCCTGTCCTCACTGGCTGTGGTCCCTCCTCCACCAGCACCCTGTCCTCACTGTCTGTGGTCCCTCCTCCCTCCTCCACCAGCACCCTGTCCTCACTGGCTGTGGTCCCTCCTCCACCAGCACCCTGTCCTCACTGTCTGTGGTCCCTCCTCCATCCTCCACCAGCACCCTGTCCTCACTGGCTGTGGTCCCTCCTCCACCAGCACCCTGTCCTCACTGTCTGTGGTCCCTCCTCCACCAGCACCCAGTCCTCACTGTCTGTGGTCCCTCCTCCATCCTCCACCAGCACCCTGTCCTGACTGTCTGTGGTCCCTCCTCCCTCCTCCACCAGCACCCAGTCCTCACTGTCTGTGGTCCCTCCTCCATCCTCCACCAGCACCCTGTCCTGACTGTCTGTGGTCCCTCCTCCCTCCTCCACCAGCACCCTGTCCTCACTGTCTGTGGTCCCTCCTCCATCCTCCACCAGCACCCTGTCCTCACTGTCTGTGGTCCCTCCTCCATCCTCCACCAGCACCCTGTCCTCACTGTCTGTGGTCCCTGCTCCACCAGCACCCTGTCCTCACTGTCTGTGGTCCCTCCCTCCCTCCTCCACCAGCACCCTGTCCTGACTGTCTGTGGTCCCTCCTCCACCAGCACCCTGTCCTCACTGTCTGTGGTCCCTCCTCCATCCTCCACCAGCACCCTGTCCTGACTGTCTGTGGTCCCTCCTCCATCCTCCACCAGCACCCTGTCCTCACTGCTGTGGTCCCTCCTCCATCCTCCACCAGCAGCCTGTCCTCACTGTCGTGGTCCCTCCTCCACCAGCACCCTGTCCTCACTGTCTGTGGTCCCCTCCTCCATCCTCCACCAGCACCCTGTCCTCACTGTTCTGTGGTCCCTCCTCCATCCTCCACCAGCACCCTGTCCTCACTGTCTGTGGTCCCTCCTCCCCTCCTCCACCAGCACCCTGTCCTCCACTGTCTGTGGTCCCTCCTCCATCCTCACCAGCACCCTGTCCTGACTGTCTGTGGTCCCCTCCTCCATCAGCACCCTGTCCTCACTGTCTGTGGTCCCTCCTCCATCCTCCACCAGCACCCTGTCCTCACTGTCTGTGGTTCCTCCCTCCATCCTCCACCAGCACCCCTGTCCTCACTGTCTGTGGTCCCCTCCTCCATCCTCCACCAGCACCCTGTCCTGACTGTCTGTGGTCCCTCCTCCCTCCTCCACCAGCACCCTGTCCTCACTGTCTGTGGTCCCTCCTCCATCCTCCACCAGCACCCTGTCCTCACTGTCTGTGGTCCCTCCTCCATCCTCCACCAGCACCCTGTCCTCACTGTCTGTGGTCCCTCCTCCCTCCTCCACCAGCACCCTGTCCTCACTGTCTGTGGTCCCTCCTCCATCCTCCACCAGCACCCTGTCCTGACTGTCTGTGGTCCCTCCTCCACCAGCACCCAGTCCTCACTGTCTGTGGTCCCTCCTCCATCCTCCACCAGCACCCTGTCCTGACTGTCTGTGGTCCCTCCTCCCTCCTCCACCAGCACCCTGTCCTCACTGTCTGTGGTCCCTCCTCCATCCTCCACCAGCACCCTGTCCTCACTGTCTGTGGTCCCTCCTCCATCCTCCACCAGCACCCCTGTCCTCACTGTCTGTGGTCCCTCCTCCCTCCTCCACCAGCACCCTGTCCTCACTGTCTGTGGTCCCTCCTCCATCCTCCACCAGCACCCTGTCCTGACTGTCTGTGGTCCCTCCTCCATCAGCACCCTGTCCTCACTGTCTGTGGTCCCTCCTCCATCCTCCACCAGCACCCTGTCCTCACTGTCTGTGGTTCCTCCTCCATCCTCCACCAGCACCCTGTCCTCACTGTCTGTGGTCCCTCCTCCATCCTCCACCAGCACCCAGTCCTCACTGTCTGTGGTCCCTCCTCCATCCTCCACCAGCACCCTGTCCTCACTGTCTGTGGTCCCTCCTCCACCAGCACCCTGTCCTCACTGTCTGTGGTCCCTCCTCCATCCTCCACCAGCACCCAGTCCTCACTGTCTGTGGTCCCTCCTCCATCCTCCACCAGCACCCTGTCCTCACTGTCTGTGGTCCCTCCTCCATCAGCACCCTGTCCTCACTGTCTGTGGTCCCTCCTCCATCCTCCACCAGCACCCTATCCTCACTGTCTGTGGTCCCTCCTCCATCCTCCACCAGCACCCTGTCCTCACTGTCTGTGGTCCCTCCTCCATCATCCACCAGCACCCTATCCTCACTGTCTGTGGTCCCTCCTCCATCCTCCACCAGCACCCTGTCCTCACTGTCTGTGGTCCCTCCTCCACCAGCACCCAGTCCTCACTGTCTGTGGTCCCTCCTCCATCCTCCACCAGCACCCTGTCCTCACTGTCTGTGGTCCCTCATCCACCAGCACCCAGTCCTCACTGTCTGTGGTCCCTCCTCCATCCTCCACAAGCACCCTGTCCTCACTGTCTGTGGTCCCTCCTCCACCAGCACCCAGTCCTCACTGTCTGTGGTCCCTCCTCCATCCTCCACCAGCACCCAGTCCTCACTGTCTGTGGTCCCTCCTCCATCCTCCACCAGCACCCAGTCCTCACTGTCTGTGGTCCCTCCTCCATCCTCCACCAGCACCCAGTCCTCACTGTCTGTGGTCCCTCCTCCATCCTCCACCAGCACCCTGTCCTCACTGTCTGTGGTCCATCCTCCACCAGCACCCTGTCCTCACTGTCTGTGGTCCCTCCTCCATCCTCCACCAGCACCCTGTCCTCACTGTCTGTGGTCCCTCCTCCACCAGCACCCAGTCCTCACTGTCTGTGGTCCCTCCTCCATCCTCCACCAGCACCCTGTCCTCACTGTCTGTGGCAGAGATGGGGACTCGAGTCTGTGACTCGGACTCGAGTCGCACTTAAGTCGCACACACAGAGACTTCAGACTTGACTTGGACTCCTGCTCAAAAGACTTCGGACTCGACTTGGACTCGTGTTTTGGGACTCGTGAACAATCATTGTGTTTTCTATTTTTGGCGTATTAAAGGTGGGGTAGGTAAGTTTGAGAAACCGGCTCGAGATCGCTAGAATTTGAAAATACACAACCGGAGAAAATCTGCCACTTCCTCACAGAGCCCCTCCTCCAACACACATGAACGCGCACATGACCAATGAGGGCACGAGATAAGTTTGTGCCCCGATGGAAGGCTGACAGGCAGGTAGGCCATCCAGTTATTTTAGCCGGGCCGGCTATCGAGATGTTAAGAGCATTCCATGGAATATAACAAAAAGTGTATCTCGAGCCGGTTTCTCAAACTTACCTACCCCACCTTTAACATTAACATCATGGTAACACCATGGCGACCGGCGGCACACCTGCAGCTGTACCGCTTGTAATTAGGTTCAACTACAAAAACTTCGAACAAAACGCCGGCGGCACCAACAAAAGGAGCGCACACTGCAAAGTCTGCAATATTAAAATCAAGGATGCTGGTGCAACAACGTCACATGTCATCAGGCACTTGAAAACTCACCCGGAGAGGTCAGTCACATTAACGCATATGGACGGTTAGCAAACATGTTTAGCTCAGCATCAGCTATGTAATGTTAACTTAGCTTGCTACTAGCTTTGTAACTGAATATTTGAAAAGCTGAGTGAATGTTTGCTTGTCACACTTGTTTGCCTTGAGTGGCGTTGACATCCAACTCTTGACATGACATAAAAAAGGTCGGTAACGTTAATCATTACGTTCCGCTGCCACCATCTACTGGCTAACGTTAAACGTAGAAAAATACATAGTTACATACATAAATACATCTGTCGGTTTATAGACAGGTTACAGGTTTATTGTTGACCACGTAACGTTAATGTTACAGGTTTATCAGGTTACCATTACACTGGGTTTGAGTGAGAGGATAGAGGAATATGTTTATTTATAGTAGACTTAAAAGATGTAAATAGAGACCCAGTGTAATTAAACAATACGGTTGCAGAGGTCAAATTTGAACATTTTTGTCCACTGGCCAAATGGCTAGCCTAGTGAATGTTGAAATGTTACCAGCCACTCAATAGATTGCCATTGTTATTTGTGGCTGGTGCGTGCAACATACAGTACCAGCCACTTGCATAATTTACCAGCATTTGGCTGGTAAATAGTGTTAATGGTAGATATCTCTTTTGGAACAGGTCATGTTTTAATATCACCAGTTCAGTATATTTCAGATAATATTGCAGCAATAGTTTTTTAGTTGCAAATGGCACAGAACAAATGTTTACTTTGAAGTACTTTTAACACAGCTTCCCTGCGGGGGATTAATAAAGTATTTGTGATACTGATTTCTGATTCTCAAGTGTTTTGCTTATAAGTTGTTTGCATGTAGCTAAAGTGTGATGTTTGTCCTCATATTGCATTGCAATAGCCTGTTTAAAGTGATCATATAACAAACAACTAATCAGTACTGATACTGTATGCTAATAGATATAGGAGTGATAATAATACAGTAAATGCTTTGAATTTCTTAGATATAGCTGTGCAGTATTCTTAACAGACTGGATAGCAGCAGACAATAGAAGGCTTATTACAACCAGAAGAGACATGAGACTTTTATTTTTTAGAGACTTGAGACTTGACTTGGACTCGTGACCAAAGACTTGAGACTTGATCAAGTCTCACCCCACAAAGACTTGAGACTTGACTTGGACTCGTGACCAAAGACTTGAGACTTGATCAAGTCTCACCCCACAAAGACTTGAGACTTGACTTGGACTCGTGACCAAAGACTTGAGACTTGACTTGGACTTGCAAAAAAAGACTTGTGAACATCTCTGGTCTGTGGTCCCTCCTCCATCCTCCACCAGCACCCTGTCCTCACTGTCTGTGGTCCATCCTCCACCAGCACCCTGTCCTCACTGTCTGTGGTCCCTCCTCCATCCTCCACCAGCACCCTGTCCTCACTGTCTGTGGTCCCTCCTCCATCCTCCACCAGCACCCTGTCCTCACTGTCTGTGGTCCCTCCTCCATCCTCCACCAGCACCCTGTACTCACTGTCTGTGGTCCCTCCTGCATCCTCCACCAGCACCCTGTCCTCACTGTCTGTGGTCCCTCCTCCATCCTCCACCAGCACCGTGTTTACCCGTCCATCCCTGCAAACCTGAGGAGACCGATCAAAGTTCTGTCCCTGTTTGATGGCATAGCAACAGGTTAGTGAACACACACATTTCACTTTCTGTAAACAGTAGACATACATACAGGAAAAAGCGAATGTGCTGTAAACTGGAGGGGAAGTAGAGAGATTTTCCTAATTTCTCCATTAAATATGTTCTCCTTTCAAATCAAAGGTAACTTAACAACGAAAATAAGTATTCATTAGAAATGAGAATGTGTGGGGTTCTTCGGCAGGTTCTTGACCTCCTCTTATTGTAATCAATAATCTCTGATCATTTCGAGTTCATTTTCAGTTACAATGTTTACAGTAAAAACACTGTGAACTAATTAAGGTTCATAAGATCGATTTTAGCATCATCTTTGCCCTAACATGCATTTGGGAAACCTGGTCCTTAATCTCATTAAAACTCTGATTTTACAAGTCTTCCTGATTATTTTCCAGGCTTACAGCATGTTTATGTGTGTCTTTCTGTATTTGTCCAGGCTACCTGGTGCTGAAGGATCTCGGCTTCAAAGTAGACGAATGTTATGCTTCAGAGATTTGTGAGGATTCGATTGCAGTGGCGACCGTCAACCACGACGGGAAGATCATCCACGTTGGAGACGTCCGCTTCATCACCCAGAAACACGTATGTTCATTTTCTGTACATTTGCAACCTTTCACACAGTTAACAATGTTTTGTCTTTTGTTTGAAGTTCTTATTTGATATATCTTGACTCAATACTGAACCAAACCATCTCTGTGTTCCTCTTTGACCTCCAGCTGGAGCAGTGGGGTCCGTTTGATATGCTGATCGGTAGCAGCCCCTGTAACGACCTCTCCATCGTCAACCATTTAAGAAAAGGCCTCTATGGTACGTTACTGTTGTATGTGTTTCAGCACTAAATACATTCGTTGTCAACAATTAGAAATGCAAAGTTAAACTGCATAATCATTTATTGCACATATGGTCAATGTATTTGCTGTAATCCCCTCCTCTCTCCTGCAGAGGGCAGTGGCAGGCTGTTCTTTGAGTACTACCGCATCCTCCAGCTGCTGAAGCCCAAGGAGGAAGACCCCAGGCCGTTCTTCTGGCTCTTTGAGAACGTCGTCTTAATGAACACACATGACAAAGTCAACATCTGCCGCTTCCTCGAGGTGGGCAATATTTGGTTTATTTTTATGTTGAGCTCGTTCCTCCTTCTCTTACTTTTTCCTCACGTTTTACCTTTCCCATTTCTTACCCTTCCTGCTGTCCTCATAGCTCTAGTGTTTTTCTCAACAATGACTTATGTGATTATGTGATTCTTCAACAGCCCTGCTCACAGAGCACGATACTTCTGGGGAGAAATCCCGGGGATGAGCAGGTGAGACTTTCAATTACACATACATTATAATGGTTGAATAACTCACCACTAATTGTGTCAGACTATGTATTTGATAAGAGTCATATGTTATTGTTAACACATAAGTATTCTATAGTTTTTACTCATTATCTTTGTTGCCCTTTCTTTGCTCTGATCTGCTGTCTTATTGCTTTGTTTAATATGTTCTTACATGTCTTCCCCCCCATCAGGCCCATCATAGCGTCCCAGAACGACAAGCTGATTCTGCAGGACTGTTTAGAGATCGGAAGAGAAGCCAGGGTCAGTGACTGAACCTGCTGCATCACATTTCGTTATTTTGCTCAATGTGACTTTATTTTAACAAAAAAAACAAATATGATTGTGGGGTTCATCAATATACAAATAATCACTCAGTCTGTGTGTTTTTTATTCCAGGTCACCAAAGTGAGGACGATCACTACCAATTCAAACTCTCTAAGGCAGGGCAAAGGACCGTCCTCTCTGCTGCCCGTCGTCTACAACGGCAGGGAAGACAGCCTCTGGATCACTGAACTGGAAAAGTAAGCATGTTATAGATATATTAAAGATTGTGTATTTGTAATCAAAGGTAACAAGCTAAAAACACCCTGAGACTTTGACTGATGAGATCTTATTCTTCTCCAGGATCTTTGGTTTCCCCAAACATTACACGGACGTGAGGAACATGACCCGGCAGCAGAGGCAGAAGGTGTTGGGGGAGTCGTGGAGCGTGCCCGTCATCCGCCACCTCTTCGCTCCCCTCAAGGAATATGTTGCCTGTGAGAAGCTGCCTCCTCTGACCATATCCTCCATCTCCTCCACATCCTCCCCTGACTCTCCAGAGATGATGCAACTCAGATAGTTAGTTATGTTTGGTGTGTTTGTGTGGAGGATTTCCGCCACTAGGTGCTTTATAAGAAATGGTTGAGCTGAAATGAACTATGCAGTCTTCTACTAAAACAGGCTTTTTGTGGATCACTGCCACAAAAAGCTATTTGTTGGCTGTGCAGTCGAGAAACACAGATTGTGTGCACAGCTAGCAGTCACTCTGTCCTCCAAAGACACAAAAGAGGGAAGATGGCGCCTGTGTCGGCATGCAGCTCTCTGCCTTTAGCTATCCTGTTTTTGTTTTATGTTTGTCAGAATGTCTCTGCTCTGCTCGTCTATGATCGCCAAGCTCTCCTCCACCTAAGACCCTCACTGGAGTTTATACTGCTGCCCAAACCTACATCTGGCAACCGTAAATCCCCCCCCCCCCTCTACTGTCAGATATTCCCACCTACCTGCGCCGGTTGCCCTGCATCCTGCCTCACCGAAAGCGCTTTAGACGACGGGGAAAGTGTGGTGGTGCGCTTGTCCATCAAAAAGCACACCTGACGGCTTCTTCTGGGACTGATCCACGCATCAGATGTCATGGCCCTCCAGCTGCACGCCATCCGAGGGTTCAGTGGATTCGCCCTGTCTTTCCGGAGCTGCGGCCTCTGCTGGGCCCGCCGGCAGCTCCTCCTGCCCGACTGACTGCTCCCGGTCTGCACGCCGTTCAACACGCACATCTTCGTCCGCGAAGACGCACTACATTTGGCTGTGTGTAGACGGCGGAAGCAGGTAGAGGCATTCACGTGCCTTGATCCCTGCCGAGTCAACGCACGACTTGTTTGGTGTCTGTGCCACAGCAACTATTTAGGAGACATTTTCTCAACTCCATTACTGACATTATCTTCATCTTTTATAAAAACAAAAACACATTTAAGCTATTCTGCCCCAAAAACATATTGTGACAACTTGCACCTGTAACTAACCCTTGTGTCCTATTCATTTAAAGTGAATTCAACAGGTTGTGCAAGTCACCCAATTTGTCTGAGGTTATCCACACTAACCAACATAACCACATCTTCAATTAGATTAATCTGCAGTCGCATAACATTTATTAACTCACACATCAATTTAACATTTCTTTGTCACGTTTGTAAATAGAAGTGTTATTAATTCATGTTTTCTTCTATGTCATACCCAGTGTTGTGCTAGTTACTGAAAACCAGTAACTAGTTACCATTACTAGTTACTTCATTTCAAAAGTAACTCAGTTACTTTACTAGTTACTTAAACCCAAAAGTAATGCGTTACTGTGAAAAGTAACTTTTTAGTTACTTAAAAAAAGGGCTCCCATTAATGCCCTTATAGCCTTCATTTCAGTACTGTTATTGCATTGGAGAATAATACAATATGTTGATCAACTTGACATGCATTATATGCAACCTGGATTGCATCGATATTAGCTGGCTTTCCATTTTTGTATATTCTTTCTCCAGGTAGTTGGAAAAAGTGTTCCGTCCCATATGCCGTGTGCCGCCCGGACATGCTATCATGCTAACTAGCTCCCTGAAAGCGGGTGACTCCACTGTAGCAATAGCCTGCATGTGTTCTACAACATACCGTGCAATGGCTTTATCGACTTTTCCCTGGCCAGCAGTCCCTTGGTTAAAATCCAGCCGCTGTTGCTTGGGTGGAGGTGGAGTGGCGTCGGCTGAGTCTCTGTGGTCTTAGCTACTAGCTTCGTCCCAGCATGTTGTTTTTGCAGATGTTTTAAGAGATTTGAATGACTGGTTTGGGCAGTAGATAGGATCTTTGACCCGCCAAGACACAACTTACATTTAACTAAAACGTTATTTTCTTTGTGCTCGACAAAAGTGAAATAGTGAGAATATCTCCAGGTGGAGAAACTAGACTTGAGCTCCGCCGCCGCCATGATAGTCTTGTTAGTAAACAACACAAACACGCCCACAGCCCGTCTCCGCATGTGACACAGGAAGTATCTAAGTACATTTACTCAAGTACTGTACTTAAGTACAGTTCTCATCTCTGTTCGCCTGGCTGTTGACTATATAAAAAAAACTAACGGAGTAACGCACCATGTAGTAACGGTAACTGAGTTACTGCATTTAAAAAGTAATGCGTTAGAGTACTAGTTACTGCCAAAAATAACGGCGTTACAGTAACGCGTTACTTTGTAACGCGTTAGTCCCAACACTGGTCATACCAAAGAGTTGATGGACCCTTTTTTCATGCTGAGGACCAAACTGTATTCAGACAAAGTATTTTATTTTCAAATTGTTAAGGTTTTGCATACATAAAAGTGAATCTTACAGTTCCTTTGTGAGAGAATTACACACAAATCTGCCGAGTGTCAGTAAAAAGTGTTAGAATCACAAACTTGCCTTTTAGAGTCACAGTCTTTAAGAAAAATAAGACAATGTGCTTCATTTTCTAGTTTTAAGGTTTTGCATACCTCAAAGTGTGTCTAAAAGTATATTGGCAAGAGAAAAAAGCCTAAATCTGCCTAGTGTCAGTAAATAAGTGTTAAAATCACAAACTTGTCGTGTAGAGTTACAGTCTTTAAGAAAATAAATGTGTTACAAAGTGATTGACATTCTACCAGTTGTAAAGTTTTCAGACAACAAACTATCTAAAAGTATCTTGGTAGCAGAAAAAAAGCAAAAATCAGTAAAGTCATCAAAAACGACATTATTTAACTGGATTGTCTTACTTAAATCAAAAGCTGCCATTAAGAGTCACATTTTTAAATAACATCTATTTAGACAAAGTATTTGATTTTTCTAGTTTTAACTTTTTGCATAGATAAACGTGTATCTTACAGTTCCTTTGTGAGAGAATTACGCACAAATCTGTCATATCAAAACATTCTATTCCAGTATTTTATCTGTTTTATGTGCTCTGTATATATATATATTAGGGCTGTCAGTCGATTAAAATATTTAATCCCGATTAATCGCATGATTGTCCATAGTTAATCGCAAATTAATCGCACATTTTTTATCTGTTCTAAATGTACCTTAGAGGAATATTTTTCAAGTTTTTAATACTCTTATCAACATATGAGTGGACAAATATGCTTTATGCTAATGTTTATTATCATTTGAACAATGACAAATATTCTCATGAATATTAAACACAACAACCTCTGAACATTACAAATATTCGCCTCAATTCAACCTGGAACCTCTCTCATTCAATAATACAATACAAAGTGTGTGTGTGTGTGTGTGTGTGTGTGTGTGTGTGTGTGTGTGTGTGTGTGTGTGTGTGTGTGTGTGTGTGTGTGTTCGTTGGAGCTATGTGCAACTCAAGGCATATGCTCGAACGGGAGCTGCCTGGACGCTGCAATCATGTTACGCGCACTATCCGTGCTGAGTGTGCTGACTTTTCGTACAATGTCCCACTGTCTGGCTACCTGCATAAAGTCAAGTGTATCAAAGTGTATCTAAGAAGTATCTTTGTAACAAAAACAAAAGCAATTAAAACTGCGGTCGCACTTGTGCGCGCAGTGATGAGCGGGGCCCTCGCGTCTGTGCGCCTGTCGGGGAGGGCAGCCGGTCGTCCCGGCGTCAAGCAGACGCGCGCGAGTCCTGGGAAATGAATTTAGCATCATATTGGATAGGGGCTGAACGTGTCCTGGATTGGAATTTTTCCGATCATTCCCCTAGGAGGAGTTCGCAAGAATGTGCTGAAAATGCATGAAAAACGCACATTTTTCTAAATAGGACGCCGTCGGGTCCTAGTGCTCCGTGCTCGGGCCCTAATAATTCCACCAATAACAATAGGTTTCCTCGCACTTCGTGCTAGGACGCTGTCGGGTCCTAGCGCTCCGTGCTCGGGCCCTAATAATAAAAAAGTAGTAATATTATCTGTTTGTTTTTATCTGTTTTGTGTTTAGCTTTTTATCTTATTTATTGATGTGTGTTTTGTCTTTGTATGTGATGTGGTCCTCCAATAACAAATTTAGAATTTCAAATTATTTAAATGAGTGCCCTATAAAGGGTTAATCTTATCTTTGACCTTTGTAACCCCAATAAAATGTTCATTCCAAATTGTTATGTTGTCTCCTTATTTACTTACAATTCATGTGTTCTCTTAATTAATTTCAAGTGGGCCGCCATTTTAGTTTTAAGGCATGAGGAGTAAGCACGTGCGCGTGAGTCCATTTTAGGTTACGACCTGGAAAAGGTTTGACGGTTAGGATTAGAATTATAGTGAGTGGGGGAGAGTATCAGGCAGTGAATTATAAGGGGCCACCAGAGAGAGCGAACCTGCCACAGAAATGAGAACATGGGGCACTCGATGAATCAGGGAAGAAAGGGTTTGAATCCTGCTGCCAAGACTGCTACAGGACTGAATGCACTGGCAAGCCATCCTTGCTCTCCACCGAGGCAGATCCAATTCCCACCTTAGACCCCAAGACAAATTAAATGACGTTGAGTGATAGCTATCATAGTAGTGTTTTTACTATCACTCACATATAACAATTTTAATCCACATCTTCAGTAGTAAACCCAGGAGTCTTTGATTGTTTCGGCTTATTATAACTAAACAATCTCCCCCAGGATAGCCCTGCAAGGTGATCAAATCCAAGCAGTGTGTATTATAGGAACATGTAGCTGTGAGTGTTCAGCATTCAGGATGATATGCAGCTATACGCGTGAGCAAGAGAGAAGCATTCGCTGCGCTGCATCAGGACGGAGTGAGCCAGAAAGGGCTTCCACACGCTATTTATATAGAGGTGTGGGAGGGGCTTATTTCCCATGTAACTTTCGTGAAACCTCCGTATGTCACGGTGAGCAGGTGAGTATCCATCGTTTTTTCTTAATCCTGTTTTTGACCTTTGTGACCCCAATAAAATGTTCATTCCAAATTGTTATGTTGTCTCTGTATTCATTTACAATTCAGGTGTTCTCTAAAGTGGGCCTCCATTTAATTATTTCAGGCATGAAGAGGAGTAAGCACGTGGGCGTCCATTTTAGGTTATGGCCTGGAAAAGGGGGCGGTTAGGATTAGCGTTCGATTGGG